CTTCCTTCCTTCCTTCCTTCCTTCCTTCCTTCCTTCCTTCCTTCCTTCCTTCCTTCCTTCTCTCTACTCTCTCTCTTTCCTTCCCTCTTTCCTCCTTCTGTGGCCCGCTGGAGAAGCTGGAGAAGAGAAGGGGAGGCTTTTGAAGATGCCTTCCCCCCTTTTTGCTTCCCCTTCTGACATCACTTCCGGTGATGTCAGGGGGCATGGCATATGCTAATAGCCTAGTAGCTCATTAGCATACCGTATGCTAATGAGCTCCTGCAGCTCTTTTTCTATGAAATGACCCTTAGGCATCCAGTGCTGTTGATGTAAGACTAACGTAGTATAACCTCTGTAATTAATGCCAGTCAGCAATCTGGCTGTTGCAGTTTGAATTAACTAAAGATTTTTGGCAGTTTTCAAAGGCAGCCCCACTTAGAGCCCTTTGCAGTTAGATTAATACCATGTGATGTAAGTGGGGCTTTAGGTGAGGATGTGATGAGAACATGGATAGCTGTGGTCAAATCTTGCTTTTCAAAAAGAGCTGTTGTTGGCACATCAACCAAAGCTAGTGAATGGTGTTATATATTGTAGAAGAAATCTGCACTTCCATCTTCAGACTCTCAAATACCATCTTCAGACTCTCAAATGCTCCTCTGTTCCTTTAGGGAACATGTGACCCCCCCATCTAGAATAGACTGGCTCTTCAGTCAGCTGGTCCAGAAGAATGTCATGACCAACAATATTAAAAATCTCTGAGAGCTCCCAGGGTATCACCGGAATCATAATTCTTGTGTCCCTTTTCCAGCAAAGGTCATGCACTGGGGTGACCAAACTAGTTTCAGTTCTAAGATTCAGTAGTATTTAGCTTCTGAAGTTCTTGCCCAGAGGATCCCTTTTTTTTTGTCTTCCTCAGTTCAGAGTAATATGACTAGTATTTGTGTGTATATGTGCACATGTTCCTGTATACTCCTGATATGGGGAAGCTTTCATCCTTATACCCTCTAACATTTTTGTTAATACCTCAGTTTTCATGACAATAGCATCCCCCCATAGTATTATTGTTGCTGAAGTCTTTTTTCATAAATATATTCATATATATGAAAAAATCTATTTATCCTACAGTATCTTTCAACAGTTCTACTTCAGCAGCTGCAGTGTATTCAATGGCAGTATGCCCACTTAGCATGTTTACATTTACACAGATAACGCTGAAGAGATTAAATGAATCTGTTCCCCACTCAGTGATGGAAATTTAAGATACCCAGAAGAAAATTTACAATACCCTGAAGAGAGAACAAACCTAAAAAATGACAGTTCTTGCAACTCACATTTTTAAAGAAAATCTTTGAAGTACCAAATAATGGGCAGTATGAAAGCTGGGACCTTAGAGGAACTAGTTAATCATGGTAACAAGTTGTTATAATGTTGTTGCATTATTTGCTCTGCAGGGGATGTATCTGAAATATATGCTGTTTACATTTAAATGTAGCTATATTAGTCAAATTTTGCAGATGTACAAAAATAATTAGACAACTCTCAGTTGGTCAGGTCTGGTATCAAAGTGATTTTGGCTTGAAATGCTGTGAACTTATTTTATTAAACTGCCTCTGCCTTCATCATCAAGCTTTCTTGTGGTCTCTTTTAAAATATCAATCTGCAATCTGAATGTGTTATGTATATTAGGAGGGTCAGGTAGCAGGAGTTAGTTGAGGAAATTTTAGAGTCCCTCCCAGTCCCCCAGTTCTATAAGTTTTCTTAGTGCAGGAGAAACACTTTGCAGTTTCTATTTGGACTTCAATTTTTCTTGTGTGTAAATTTTAAATATAAGAAGTTGGTCATCCGATAAGCTTATCATCATAGCACTATCTGTTAGAAGTCAGGCATGCTTAGTATTCTGCTCTCAGCTGGAGCATCAGAAGGAGGGTGTGTAAGTTAAGCTCTGAGTATTGATTTGTAACCACTTCTCATGCATTTCCTTATTTCATTCAATTGTGCCCTCCACTCCCTCTCTTGCAGGATGCAGTATTGGGCCAGAAGGCTGGAGCAAGAGATTGATGGAGTGATGAGGATATTTGGGGGAGTTCAACAGCTGAAAGGGGTAAGTGTTGTCACTTTCTTGCCTTCTATATTTCTTCGTTAAGAGACAGTACTTCTTGGTAAAGCTGTCTACATCAATGGAAGTAGAGAGCACTTAGTATTGTGGATGCCTGGCTCTTTTTGATTGTACAGGTTCACAGCCTAGTGATAATTCTGGATTTGTTTTCCTATAGCTATCAGCTTGTATTTTATCTTTAATGCAATTAAGAGGTTTGTGTCATACCTATCTGGTAGATCATCACCTTCTGTCATGGTCACCAAGACTGTTGGAGAACACCTACTTGGCCATTATGCTATTTATGTCCCACTCACACAGTAAGTTTAAGGCAAGTAAAAGAAGCAGTTTCAGGGACTGCCAATCATTATGGAATCCCCAGCTTTTGGTGCCTTGTCTCCGTACCTTGTATAAAGCATTCCTTTGTTGAGGCTGGTTTTGATATTGAAGTAAACTCAGGCAATATGTGTTATTATACTTAATATTTAACCTTAAGAGACTTGGTGAGCTTTCCCCCCCTACTTTGGCTGTGCTTTTACTTTATAACTGTATGTACCCATAACATCTGGCACTTAGCTGGATGCAGACTGATCCCAGTATGTTAATTTGGAAGTTCAAGGGCCTAACGACAAGATACAAATTCCTCATGTCCCCCTCATGTCCACCCTAGTCCTGTTGAACAGTCATGCTCTAGGAGTTCCGTACTTGGAATTTAAATCACCCATGTGCGGGGGCCCAATTCAGATTGAGACTGTGGCATGTGGAAAAGGAGGCTTAAGCTTTTCCTTCACCTGGTTTTCTGGCCTAAAATGGCTTGGAGAAACTTACATGTAGCCATCAGTACACGTAGGTTTCCCCAGTGGGGCAAATAGCTGCTCCCTGGTGCCATTTCAGGACTGAAAATACTGCAAGAATTTAGAAGGGCATAATGAATTTAGCATTGCACTGTTAAAATCTCTTTGCCTAGGTGTCATCATCCCTATCTGATTCTGGCCCTCACAAGCCTTGGAATTTAATGTTGATTGTAGAAGTTCCAGAGGATGTCAGGTGGAAAGGACGAGAGCAGCCATTCTGGGGACATGAGGGCTTTGCAAAGTGTAATAAGGCCACCAGATTTCTACACTGATTGAAGCATAATGAGTAGTTGATGAAAATTCTAAATTGCTTGAATTACTTTAGGGTTTAGTTGGTGAATCCCTTACATGACATATGCAGTTCTTTATTGTTTGTATTCAGCATTAAAATTGTCATTGATTGTCAAGTTTATCATGCTCTATGGGTCTTTCAAAATACATCAGAATTTTCCAGCTTAAATTTCTTTTGTTTCAAGCATTTCAGGTTAAGACAAAAGCTTTTTTCAGTCACAACACTTCTTCTCTCACTACTTTCAGGTCTTGTAGGCATCAAATATTTCTTAAATCCTTATCTTTGCAAAAAATACAACATACTTTTTTTTAAAAAATGTAAACATAAACATGAAATGCTGTTCTAAAAATTCTTGCAATTGTGTAGCTTCAAAAAGTAAGGGTTGTTATTAACATGCCTGATTTTAAAATATTTTATTTTATATATCCATATTGGAGGGCACGCACATAATTGCTAATTTGTAAAATTCTGAGATAGGTCACTGTGGGGAGGGATTCCTTAGTTCACATGAATTTTTAAACAACCTTTTATTATATATTAAACATAATTCACACCGATTACGTCAAATCAAAGAGAATAATACATCTGGTTGAATATTATCCGTTAATTTTAAATTCCAACAATAAATTAAAGTATCTTTTGACATTTTTCTGTCAGTCATGTAGAATGTTAACTTGGTTAAAGATGCTACATGGTATAAATATGCTACTTTTTGAAAGCTATTTTACAAAACTTGGATAGATTCTCAGATTTTGGCTTGAATTTCACAGAAAAATTTCTATTGACTGAAAGGTTTCCATGAGTGAAATGTGACTTCCTTTACTTTGCCCTCTCTATATGGTCCAAAATTCTTGAAATGTTTCTTGTGGGTGACAGGGTTTAACTGACCCAAGGAACGGCATAGAGGTAGAGTTGCTGGTCTGCAGTGGAAGTGGGAATAGACAAAAATCTCTCCCCAGCAGTTGGTTGGGTCTGAAGAGCACAGGAGCAGCACTCTGGGAGTGATGAGCCCGGGGGGCAGGCACATGACCAAGTCCCACCCCCTGCTCCCAGCAGCCATGAGGAGGCAGAAGAAGGAAGGTAAGTCACCTTCATGGCCCTGGCCCTGGCTTTCCCTGGCCATGCGGAGGTGTGGTGCCCCGCAGGAGGCCTGCCCTCCTCATCCTCAGCATCTCCCAGCTTCACAGAGCCGTGGCACCCCGTGGGAGGCCTGCCCGCACCATCCCCGGCTTCTCCTGACCACGCAGAAACATGGTGCCCTGCGGGAGGCCTGCCCACCCCATCCCCAGCATCTTTTAGCCGTGCAGAGCCGTGGGAGGCCTGCCCGACCTGTCCCCAGCTTCTCCTGGCTGTGCAAAGCCATGGTGCCCTACCTGCCCCATCCCCAGCCTACCCGCCCCATCCCCAGCGTCTCCCGGCCGCATGGAGCTCCGGCGCCCCACAGGAGGCCTGCCCACCCCATCCTCGGGATCTCCTGGCTGTGCGGAACTCTGGCGCCCTGCGGGAGGCCTGTCCGCCCCATCCTCGGGATCTCCCGGCCGTGCAGAGCTCTGGCACCCCGCAGGAGGCCTGCCAACCCCATCCCCGGCTTCACCCAGTCGTTCCATTTTTGCTTGGCTGCATGGTGTGCTGGCTGAGCTGCTCATCTGACAGGACCTGTTTGTATGTCTAATATAAAGAACATTTCCTGCATTGAGTCAGAGGCGCTGTTCTTCTTTTTAATTCTCTTTAGCAGATTTGGTTTTATTAGACATTACATTTCCTTACTTCCATATTCCCCCCCCTCGCACCCTCAGGAACTTAATTGGGTACGTTAGCTACCTAGTGCTAATATTTTAACATGGGGAAGGACTGGGGAGGGAGGGGGAGAAAGTGGGTTATTGATTATATAAACATAAAAATATTCATGCATTTGTTCTTTTTTGCAACACACACAAAAACAAAAGAGAACAAACAATCACACTGATCACGGGACTTTGCAAGCAACAAGGAAGAGAGAGAGGTAGTGATTGCATTTATAAGACGCTAGAACAATGAAATAAATATATAGGGACCAACAGGGAGAGTACTCTGCACGGATTGGTGTAGCATGTTCTTGTAATTCTGGAGGCACATACACAGAGAGAGAGAGAAGTTAAGTGTTTACCATGCAGATCTTGGGCAACAGTGTGCTCCAAGACGTGTTTATATAATCCAGTGCTAGAGGAATACTTTTAAAAAAACATACAGTGTGCTCCATTCCCATTAATATTTCAAGGGTGGGTTTTTTCCCCCATGTGTGCCATCAGGTAGGCTCGGCAGCTCTGAGTTGGGAAATACCTGGAGATTTTTGGGATGGAGCCTGAGTGGTGGGTGTTGCCTTCTGACTCACTTCCGGTGATGTCAGGGGGTGTGGCATATGCAAATAAGTTATGCAAATGAATTATGCTAATGAGCTCATGCACCTCTTTTTCTACGAAATGACCCCTGCCCATCACCATAAATCCTCTGTGGGATACAACCATCTGTAAATTTGTGCTGTAGTCAAACATATTATCAATTATCCTGTATGTGTACTTCCTTTCAATATCAGTACAATTACTTCCTTTAAATATCAATACAAATACTTCCTTTAATGACAGTTTTAGAAACATGGAAACATACTCAGTAATTTCTCTTGTTGTACTCAGAACCCGCTTCCAAAAAGACAAAAGTTCAGGACAAGACCAAAAAATATGAAAAAATCTTTGGTATATCACAACATCAGTATTCAGCATTGTAAAAGTTTATATATTCTTTTCAACTATTGAATATATTTTTAAAGTTAGTTTTCATATCTGAACATGAATTTAGGGAAAAACAGGGAAAAGATACTCAGTCTACCCTTCCTTGTCACATGGAACATGATGGAGTGGTGTTCTAAAACTAAATCCAGTTATCTATGACGTTTGAAAATTATTGCATAGTTTAGTAGGATCTGTTTTTGATCCAGTGACTAGGATTCTTGGGCTAGGGTTAAACCCTGGTTAAGGGTTATGGTGGGGAAAGAAACTCAGATTAAGGGGTGTGCATGCATCCTTGCATCATCAATAACCAGCTATTCTAATACCATTATTTTTTTCATTGTGCTCCAGTGGGGAAAGAAGAAAGAACTGGGCATGTGTGTAAGCCTAGCAGAAACCAGATTCCCATACATTTTTATTTAAGTGTAGTTAAACTGGCTACCTGGATGCAGCCATAGTCATATGTTTCCAGAGAGGAGGAGGAAGAGTTGTTTTTATACCCTGCTTTTCTCTATCCTAAGGAGTCTCAAAGCAGCTTAAAATCACCTTCCCTTTCTCTCTCCACAACAGTCACCTTGTAAGGTAGGTGGGGCTGAGAGAGTTCTGAGAGAACTCTGCCGGCTAGCCAAAGGTCATCCAGCAGGCTTCATGTGGAGAAGTGGGGAATCAAACCTAGTTCTCAAGATTAGAGTCCACTGCCCTTAACCACTACACTACACAGTCTCAGTCCTATACCCAACCCTATAATCATTCACTTGTTTGAGTGGCTGATTCAATATTTGTCTCTAAAGTTATGTTCAGATTTATTTCATTTTATTAATTATAAAATTTGCCTTAAACTGTTTAATCTGTATAGCATTATTAATAGTTAAAATCTGGGTGTGTTTTTTAAAAAAAATAAATGGACAGTTTTTCCTTATCAAAGAAATTACTGTATCCCTCAATTTGAGATACTGAAATAGGAAATTATGTTCATACCAATCTCTAGTATTTTCAAATATTTGTAATAATATACATATGTTAAAGTGGAAGAATCAGGACTAAACTGCTTCTTAAACCTATTCTGGCCCCTGCCACACGGCAGGGGATAAGTCGCTC